TATATTAATTACTATCGATAGATTAGATAGATCTATTAATACATCTATCCTTTCCACTTACCGATTAAACAGATCCACTGATCTCGAAGAAAGAAGCCAAATAGCAAGCCTGTCTTATCGTGAGCACCTAGACCCAACGCTGGTGTCCGAATGAATTTGCCACATCATTGCTCCGATGCCAAAGGCCATTCCAAATGCAACCAAAAATCCAACGATGATCAGCCATAAACAAACTTGGCTCGTACGGTTCAATCATTGTTCCAAATTTTTTTTTGTTTTAAGATTTTTTATGATTTATGATAAAAAAAATTTTATAAAAATATAAATAAATATTTTTTGTTCTTAATATTAATATATATATGTATAGGAAAATAAATTTTGTTTTTTTTTTATTAATATTTTTTTTTTGGGTTTTGTTGAATATTAAATAATGTGGATTATTATGTTATAAATGAAGTTCAGAGTACGATTGGCTTTTGAAAAATACATAATGAAGTCTAGACATTTAAATCACGAACTACCTGGAAAAAAATTAAGTTTAATTATTTCTTTGGAATTGAACAAATTTTATTAATACTAATATAATATTATTGGTTAATCATTAAACTAAGTTCAAACGTTTTATATCATATTTTCTTATAAATCCAGAAGATGGATAATTGAAATCCATATTTTTTTAATATATTTTTTAACTTGTTTATCAAATTTTACGACACATTTCCATTTCAAATAAATTTGAATTTTTTAAATCAATGTAATAAATTTGTAAACAATACTTTTATTTAAATGAAAAAAAAAACGGCTCAACTTATAAGACCATTGATAATACTAATAATAATAATCCATTGAATGTTAATTTAAAAAATAAAGAAAAAGAAAGTCACTTCAAAATAAAAAAAAGGAGAAAGTCACTTCAAAATAAAAAAAAGAAGAAAGTCACTTCAAAATGAATTGAAGAGAAGAGTCACTTGAAAATAATAAAAGAGAAGAAAGTCACTTGAAAATGATAAAAAAGAAGAAAGTCACTTCAAAATGAAATGAAAAGAAGAAGAAATCACTTCAAAATGAATGAAGAGAAGAAAGTCACTTTAAATAGAATGAAGAGAAGAAAGTCACTTTAAATAGAATGAAGACGAGAAAGTCACTTCAAAATAAAAAAAGAAATGTGGAAGAGTATTTTAAAGTCACTTGAAAATGAATGAAGAGAAGAATATCACTTAAAATTAGAAGAAATGAAGTAAAAAGAGTCACTTCAAAATAAAATAAATGAAGAGAAAAAAGTTACCTTATAATAAAATAAATGAAAAAAAGTCACTTGAAAATAAAATAAATGAAGACGAGTTAATTCAAAATGAAGTGAAGAGAAGAAAGACACTTGAAAATGAATAAGAAAAGAAGAGAAGTCACTTCAAAATAAAATGACGAAAGAGAAGTTACTGTAGAATAAAAAAAAGAAGTCACTTTAGAATAAAAAATAAAGAGAAGTCACTTGAGAATAAAAAAATAAAGAGAAGTCACTTCAAAATGAATGAAGAGAAATGAAGAGAAATAACTTCAAAATAAAAAAAAAATGAAAAGAGGAGTCACTTCAAAATAAAGAAAGCGAAGAAAGTCACTTCAAAACGAATGAAGAGAAGAAAGACATTTTAAAATTAAAAAAATGAAGAGAAGTCACTTTAAAATTAAGTGAAGAGAAGAAAGACATTTCAAAATCAATGGAGAAAAGAAAGTTATTTTAAAATTAAAAAAATGAAGAGAAGTCACTTCAAAATTAAGTAAAGTTAAAAAAGACACTTCAAAATAAAAAAGAAAAGAAGAAAGACAGTTCAAAATTAAGTAAAGAGAAGAAAGTCACTTCAAAATAAGATAAAGAAAGCAGAAAGTCACTTCAAAATTAAAAAAGAGAAGAAAGTCGCTTCAAAACGAATTAAGAGAAGAAAGTCATTTTAAAATAAAAAATGAGAAGAAAGTCATTTCAAAATAAAAAAGAGAAGAAAGACACTTTAAAATAATGAAATAAAGCAGAAAGACACTTTAAAATAAAGAAAGAGAAGAAAGACACTTTAAAATAAAGAGAAGAAAGACACTGAAGAAATTAAAAAAGAGAAGAGATGTCACTTTAAAATAAAAAAATGAGAAAAAAATCACTTCAAAATAAAAAAATGAGAAAAAAATCACTACATAATAATAAAACAGGAGAAGCAAATCACTTCAAAATTAAGTGAAGAAGAGAAGGAAGTCATTTCAAAATAAAGAAAACAAAATCACTTCAAAATAAATTAATGGAAGAAAAGTCACTTTAAAATAAATAAAGCAGAAAGTTACTTCAAAATGAAGTGAAAAGAAAAAAGTCACTTCAAAATTAAGAGAATAGAAGAAGAAAGTCACTGTAGAATAAAAAAATAAAGAAGTCACTTTAGAACACAAAAATAAAGAAAAGTCACTTTAGAATAAAAAAAATAAGGAGAAGGAAGTCACTTCAAAATGATAAAAAGGAGAAAGAGAAGTCACTTTAGAATAAAGAAGACAAGTCATTTCAAAAGAAATAAAGAGAAAAAAGTCACTTTAAAATAAATGAAGAGAAGAAGAAAGTCACTTCAAAATGAAAAAAAAAAGTTTTATATCAAAGTTTCACAATAAATTAAGGAGAAACAAATTCAAAATTGCGTAAAAAAGAAAATGTAAAGAACAAAGTTGTTACTTCAGAATTGTTTTAAAAAAAGAACAAAATGATCTTACTTCAAAATTGAATAAAGAAACCGAGAAAAAGAACGTTACAATGTTACATTTTATGAAATAAAACTATTTATTACAAAAAAATATATTTTAGATCAATAAAATTCATCAGGAAATCAGAATTATTATCAGACTTACTTTGTATAGTTTGTAAAGAAAAAAAATATCAGCCCTAATTAAGCAATCAGTATTTGCATCAGGAGAATTTTAACTGAAATAATTTAAAAACGATTTCTGTAATAGCAAACCAAACAAACTTGTCCTAAAACTATTAAAATAAAATGGATTTTACACCGACAGTAATTAACGTACATGATGATGTGCAAACATAATGTTTTAATTAAAGAATTCTAGTAAACAGAATTCAAATAACTTTTTTAATGACATCGCATTTGACCTTTGAAGGAAAACCCTCAAAAGTACTTCATTACCTATTTATGTTACATTAAATTGTAACTTTTAATCACCTTAATTAACAACTTATGTATCCA